AATGGCCAGTGAGTGATGTTGGACATTTTTTAATGTATTTATTGGCCATTCATACTGAGACGTGTCTATTCATTTTGGGTGCACAATTTTTGATTGGGTCTTTTATTTTTGCAGGGTCTAATTTCTTTGAGTTCTTAGGATATTCTACATGTTAGTTCTCTGACTGAGGAATAGCTGGCAAAGTTTTTTTTCCCATTCAGCAGGTTGTCTCTTCACTTTGTTGGTTGTTTCCTTTACAGTGCAGAAGCTTTTGTTGATTCTTGCTACTATTCCTTGTGCCACTGGGATTCTGCTCAAAAAGGTCCTTGCCTATGCCTATGTTTTCAAGAGTTTTACCTACTTTATCTTCCAGTAGATGAAGTGTTTCTGTTTTAACATTTAGATCTCTGATCCATTTTTAGTTTAACATATGGTGAGATAAAACCATAATATTAAGTGAACACAATCAGACACACAAGCTTAAATATCAGTTTCTCTTGTGTGAGAAACCCAAAATGGGAAGTAGGAAGATCTTTTTCAAATGGGAAGAGGAATAAGAGGTAGAGGGAAGGCGGGGGCAAAGGGGATGGCAAAAAAAGAAAGAAAGAAAGGAAAGGAAAAAAAAGGAAACAGAGCTTTTGCAAATGGGAAGGGGACCAAGAATTGGAAGGGGTGGTGGTGCTATCCATACACAAACTCCTAACAACAAATGTAATCATTATGTACTGTGAACATGTGCTAATACAAAATTTATAAAAATTGTATACATTGATTTAATCAAAATCAAAGCTTTAAACTTCAAATGATATACTTATAAACTGAATAAGTAGAGTTACAAATGTGGAATGAATATTTGCAAGCTGACAAAGCGCTTATACCTTGAATACATAAAAAAAAACTCCTAAAGCTTAATAAGAAGACAAATTTAAAAAGAGGCAAGAGCTAGAGGTGTAGCTCAGTGGTAGAGCACTTGCCTAGCACGTTCAAGGCCCTGAGTTCAATCCCCAGCACGGAAAAGACAAAACAAAATGAAACAGAGAAAGCAAAAGATTTGAACAGATACCTTGCCAAAGAAGGTATGAGGATAGAAAATAAGTACACTAAAAGATGATCAACATCATTTCTCATTAGGGACATGCAAATTAATATCACAATGAGATACCACTCCCTACCCCCTAGAATGGCTAAAATGAAAAAAGACTGACCACATGTAGTGTTGGTAAGAATGTGGAGCAACTAAAACTTTCAAACAATACTGATGAGAATGTACAATGATACTACTACTTTGGAAAGCAGTTGCACACTAGCCATTTCACTTTGTGACAGTTAAACTGGACTGTCAATTTGATTGGCTTAAATTTGCCCATGGGATTAGTAAACCAAACTTCTGGGTGGGTCCCGGAGGCATGACCTTCTTATCTGGTCCTTGGCCCCTTCCTCTCAGGTACCGTTCCTCCTGCTCTGCTTTCTGGCTGCTATGAACGAAGCAGCATTGCCCCACCCTACTGCCATGCTATTTCTGCAAGCTAATCATGGAGGGAACCCTGAGCCAATGAAACGTCTCCTCACTTAAATTGTGTACGTCAGGTATTTGGTCCCAGGGACAAGAAACTGATTAATATACACTTGTAGGATCTACCTGGAGAAATTTACCCAGAGAAATAAAAGCGTATGTCCACACAAAAGCCTGTATGCCAGTGATGGTGAACCTTTTAGAGACAAATGCCCAAACTGCAATCCAAAACTCATTTACTGCAAAATGCCAACACTGCAATTAAACCTGAATACTGAGGTTTTAGTTTAGAAAAAGCAACTCGTACATTAACATCTTTTGTATTAAAAGAAAAACAACCTGTATGCCATAAGTCTGCCACCACTGCTATATGCAAACATTTATTGAAGCTTTATTTGTACTAGCCCAAAACTAGAAACAACCCAAATATCCACACACTAGTGAATAGATATACATTGTAGTATATTCACATGGAGGAATACTACTCAGGAAACAACACTACTGATACATGATTAAACTTCTAAATAATGAGGCTCAGCAAATGATGCCAGTAAAAAATGGAGAGGGGCAGCTGTGTGATTTCACTATAAAAATTCTAGAAAATACAAATTATGACTGAAAACAGATCAATGGTTTCTCTGACTGGGAGAGCAACAGGTCACCATGATGACTATGTTATGATTTTATTTTTAAGATTATTTCATAGGCTTATAGTACATATGTTAAAACTCATCGTACACTTTAAGTATACAGTGGTACCTCAGTTCATGAACTCAATTCTTTCCATGATTCTGGTTGCAAACTGAACTGGATGAGAACTGAATCGAATTTCCTCATAAGGTCAATATCGAACCTAATCACTGAATTTGGTTTGGTTCTCATTCAACTCAGTTTGCAACCAGAATCATGGAAAGAATCAAGTTTGCAAACCAAGGCATCTCATATGTTGAGTATTCCCTGATAAAGCTATGAAAAAGAAAAAAACTTACAGAAAAAAGTCCTCTTCTTCATCTGAATCATCTTCCAAAAGATTTCTCTGTCAAACAACAATAAAAAAACAATTTTGAGTTTTAGATGCAGAAGTCTTTAAAAAAGTCAAAGAGGATTTTGAAACAAGTTTTCTGTACTAGTAAAATTTCTTAACTGCAAGCTTCCAGGCAGAGAGAATAATTACATACACTTCATTGGAAACTAAAAGGTGTGAAACAAATTTGCCTACCTTCCAAATGAATGCTTACAATTCCAGAATTCTATAGCTGACACTGCAGGAAAGACCAACTCCCTTCTTCCTATCTTCCAGTCTCTCTCTTTACTAGCAGGATTTACTAGGGATCCAGGTGGCAAAGAAAAACCATAGCTTTTGGAGCTCAAACTAAGCAGAACAGAGAGGTAAACTTTGGAGCTTAATAACTAACATAATTCACCTACTCAGTCTATAAACAGCCCTCTACACAAATTTGAAAAACAACTTTATATTCTTACCTTATAAAATAGAACAATCTTCCTTAAAATGAAGCTGGCCTTATCATGTTGCCAAGAGGAGAAGACAAGAATTCCCAAAGCAGACTAAAGAAGAGCAAATCCAGACCTTTTTATTTTTAAAAATTTATTTATTTATTTATTTATTTTAGTACTGGGGATCGAAGACCTTTTTAGACATATAAGAACTTAAACAGTTTTCACTTGTTGTAGACAGAATAATGGCTGTCCATGTCCTAATCACCAAAACCTGTGAGTGGGTTAACTTGCATGTTTGTAAGGGAAGTCCATTGTGGATTATTCATGTAGGCTCAAGCTAACAAGAGGGGAAAGTAGGGAAACATGGAGGGGAAGGGGTAGGGAGTGGAAAGAGGAAGAGCAGGAGACAGACAGAGGAAGGGCATGAGCCAAAAAAGGCAGGCAGCCTTCAGAAGCTTGGAAAGGCAAGAAAGCAATTTTTCTCATAGTGCTTCTAGAAGGAAAATAGTCCTTCTGGCACCTTGTTTTTAGCCCCATAAGTCCCATTCTGGACTTCTGATCACCAGAAGTACAAGATAACAACTCCCTGGTGTTTTAAGTTTGTAATAATTTTTTTTTGTCAATATTCATGTTAGAGGCTACATAAACCAAGGTTCCTTTTATATTTATAAAAATGTCTTATTTCATTTGTAATCATAAACATCATTCCAGTAAAAGAGGAACATTGTCTCTTCTTTTCTCTTACTTGCATGACCACCATAATAAGTTAAAATGAAATAGCTCTTAGTCAAAGAAAAGGAAGAAAGAGGAAACGAGTAAGACACAGCCTAGGCAATTCCATACAGCACTTTTTCCTGGGGCTCTGTGTTTTCCTGCTCCTTCCTCTCCCTACTCCAATTAGCTCAGCCTCCCCACCTGCTCCCAGCTTTGTTAGAGGTGAAGTCACCAAAAGGTGGAGGCTGGTGTGAAAAGACACATCATATGGTCAGTAGAAGTGGAATAGAAAGTACAAAAAGGTGGAGAGCACTGCCCTTCTCTTTTATTTTTTCATAAATTGGGTTTACTGGAACAGAACAGTGTCCTTTGATGACTGATTCCTGATCTAGACCTTGGCTTCTCAAACTGTTGTGGATCAAAACATGATACGATTCTGTTGAATTCATTTTCTGGTGCTTCTCTTTAGTGGTCTTCTCTTTTTAAGTGCATTATTTGCTTACTCAGAAAAAAAATGTTCCACTTCTGGAATTAAAGTTTTGCATGTTCTAAAGTTGATTTTATCCTCCCTTCTCCAGCATGCTCTGTTTGGCATGATTAACACAGTGCATGTACTGGTTAGCCAGAGCAGAGCAGCTGAGGGTCTGGTGGGTTTTCTCACGGTAACACTGGAGGATTTTGGCCTGCAGATCAGCACAGACTGGATGATAATCATACCGCTTGAACTTTGCTTCTACTTCTTCAGCAGCTTTCTGATATTGCTCAGTGGTAACTTTGTAGAACTCTGAACTCCTCTCCTCCAGTCTAGCCAGCTGCTCTTTGTAGAACACATCCTGCTTCTTTATCATTCGGTCTTTCTCTTCCAGCTGCTTAGCCAAGTGCTTTGCCTTCGAGCGTTCTTCATTTGATATCCTCTCTCGAAGGATAGCTCTGGTTAACTGCTCATTGGCTGCAGCCCTCTCTCGGTCTAGGTCTTTGCTTTTCTTTAGTTGTTTCTGATTCTCAGATTCCTTCTTGGCTTGCTCCAATGCCAGTTCTTCAGACACTCTTCAATTCTTCATCACAAACTGAGGCACCATAAATACCAGAATACCGCTGAGACTTCACACCAGATGGGGAGGATTCCTTCATTCGATCAATTACATTTTCTGAAAGCTGGATGCCCTTCACCACGGTGATGTTCTCATTCTCGCCTGCCTCAAAGGCGACCCGGCGCCTACTGGCGGTCCCGCCCATGGCTCCTGCCTCTGTCCCGCAGAGTCCTACCGTGGACCCATGAGCACTTCAGGGCCCATGCTGTAATAATTTTTTTTTACAGAATAGGAAATGAATACTTCACCCATGTGCCTTTTTAAGGAAATTACTGTAGGAATTATACCAGCCAAAATAAAATGAAGATCTTAAGATAGAAATGAATACAATCAAAGAATCTAATAAAATGTGTGGCCAAACTTAAATGGTTGATGATAATGTGATTGTACTACACGTAAAATAAAGCTATTGAAAAAGAAAAGGTACAATAAAAGGAAAGTTTTAAAAAGCCAAAACTTTTCCTAACAAAGCTCAGAAGCTGGGAGTGGGAGGGTGAAGTGAGGAGGCAAAAGCACACTCCTATGTTCATTTTGGTGAGAAGTGGAAGGAAGGAAGGGGACAGCGCTGGAAAGAGTAAGGCAGTGGGAAGTGCACAGCTTTTGGTGTGGTGACAGAAAACATAGTTTAAACATTACTGCTAAAATATAAAGTTATTAACAAAAGAGATAGAGGAATGGAGAAAGGGAGTAAAATTGCTAAACTGCTTAGTGGCTCTAGAGGGAAATGAGAAATGAGGAAAAACAGCCCAGCAAATGGCATAAAGAAAAAGAGGGAAACTATAAGAATACAAAGAGTATCATTTTTACATAGATATAATCTATGTAAAATAATATAATGAATAAAAAATGAAAGAAGGACGCAGTCAATATGCCCTAAGTATTTCTGAGCATTTTCTATGTGCTAGAAACTGTTTTAAGTAGCCAAGTACCAGCTTTGAACAAGACAGGTCTTAGCCATCACAGAAAAAATGTGACTGTGCTCCATGTTATGCTGAGAATTTAAGCAGTGATGGGACAAAAAGTGACAGGGGGACTGCAAGAGATTAGGCTGCCGTGGAAAATCATTCTGAAAAGGTAAAACTTAAGCTGAGACCCAAAGGATAACAAAGAGCCAGCTACAGATCAGGGTGGAGAACATTCACTGCTGGCAGAGGGGCCAGCTGGTACAGAACAAGTCAGAATGTATGAGTTCTCACCACAAATGGGAATGGTCTGAGTGTGTCTCTTTCAAAACAAAAACCACATTATGACTGGAATTTTTAAAAATACCACTAATATCTGTTCACAAGAAATTCACCTAAAACAAATGTTGAATAATGAAGGGGGAGGTAGACAAAGGGAATAGAAAAGATATATCAACAAATTCTGACAAAGACATTGTTAAAAGTTAGTGATTTAAAAAGAAATTTTAGGGTCAGGGATTTAGCTCAGTGGCACTGTGCCTGCCTCACAAGCGCAAGGTCCTGAGTTCAATCCCTGGTACCACAAAAAAAGAGAAAAAAATTGTTAGGACAGATTGTTAAACAATCTAATAAGACTTTCCAATGACAAAATGCACAATCCACCAAGCAGATTTAACAGCAATGAATGTTTATATACCTTAACAATATAGCTTCAAAATATGTAAACCAAAGGCTACTAAAGTTACAAGAACAAAATGGTTTATGATTCAATTTGTTTTTTAAAAGATGATACTAAATATAAAGTATGTTTATTAGGGTTGTACACTGAGAAAAATACATGAAAACCTGTGCTTTCCACACACTCATTGAATGAACATGAGTGTTAGGGATTCAATGTCACAAAAGTATAAGGGGATAAGTGAGACCCTGCTTCACACTCAATACGGGCAGTAACAACAGGTGTTGATATGGATGTGGAGAAGCTGGAGCCCTCACACATTGCTGGTGGGAATGGAAAAACTGTGCAACCACTTTGAAAACAGTTCAGCAGTTCCTTAAAGGGTTGAGCATTAGGTTATTGAGATACCCCGTCATTCCACTTACGGGTATGTACCTAAGAGAAAGGAAAACATATGTTCAAACAAATATTTGGTCGCTAATAGTCTTAGCAGGAGTATTCGTAATAACCACAACTCAAATGTCCACCAACTATTGAATAGATAACTAAATGGGGTACACTTGCACAATGGGATTTTATTCAGCACTAAAAAGGAATAAAGTATTGATCGAACAACACTGACAACATTAAACTAAGTTAAAGAAGACAGCCACAAAAAGCTACAAATTATATTATTTAATTTATAGAAAATGTCCCAAATAAGTAAATCAGTAGGCTTTTGGCTGTCTAGGGCTGAGGGGATGAAGAGAATGGGGCGACTGATGACTGCTAAAGGGTACAGAGTTTCTTTTAGGAATAACGAAAATGTCCTAAAATAGGTGAATTGTAAGTTATATGGATTATTTCTCAATAAAGCTATAAAAATTGTAAGAGAAAAGAACAAAATTTTAAAAAGTAATTACAGATAATTATACCAGTTACCAAACCTCATAATCTGATAAATATCCAATAGGAAGCCTCTATTTACACTGTCAATTTTATCAAGTTCTGGTGGCATCCAACATCCCATTTATACAACAAATTGTGGCAGTAATCAAATCACAATGTAGAGAGAAAACAACAGTTACAGTCTCATTAGGAGAACTGATTGAGACTATGTTCTTTTATTTTGAGGCAGATTCTCACCTAGGTCACTAAGTTGCCCAGTCTGAGCTCAAATTTTTGATTCTCCTGCCTCAGCCTTGAAGACTGCTGAGATTACAGGTGTGTGGTACCTGGTGCATTTTACATTTTTAAATATATAAAAAGCTTATTTTTAAAAGCCTGGGCTCTATATTTGTATCAGGAAAAAAAAATCTAGTACTGGCTGGGGATTTAGCTCAGTGGTTTCACTGCCTGCCTCGAAAGCACAAGGTCCCAAGTTCGATCCCCAGTAACAAAACAAACAAACAAATAAAATCTAGTACCGGGCATGGTGGCCTATACTTGTATTCCAGCTACTTGGGTCAGCCAGCCTAGACTACTTAACACTATGCAAGACTAAAAAAACCCCCCGAAACACCGAACAAACAAAATCAGTGGAGGATGTAGCCCAGTATTGCAAATTAAAAACAAAAACAAAAACAAAAAAACTAGCAATTAATCTTTTGGTGGGTTCTACTTCCCATTACTACAACAACAACAACAACAACAAAAATATGGAAGAGTTGGAATAGAAAGACAAAACTTTTTGGGGTTGCATTAAAAGATAATTCTAACTGATAAAATGTTGGGCAGAGTGGATAATATGAGGTTTTTAGGTTCCAAAGTTGGAAATTAAAAAAAAAAAAAAAGAGCATATAAAAGAAAGTCAGGTGGACTAAAAGCTCTCTAAGGGCAGTGAGCACACCCATGTCCTCTGGGTTTTAACACAACACCTGGCACATTGTATGTAGGTGGTCAATAAATATTTATTCAATGAATCAGTGAATGAAATAATGATAAGAAAGAAAATGAGGGAGGGTTTCAGATTGTTAGATAAAAAAGAAAAATAATACTGATTTAAATATATGTTTAGCACTTATTCTAAAAGTAATCTCTCTATAATAATCATAATATCAAATGTTGTCTTCCAAAGTACTGCATACAGTAATTTCCAGAGTTCTCTTTCTCCCTTCCTCTTTCTTCCCTTTCCCCTTTTCCCTTTCCCTTCCTTTCTTTCTGCTTCTTTTTCTTTAAGGTGCTAGGAAATGAACCAAGGCCCTGCTGCATGCTAGACAAAGCACTCTACCACTGACTTATACCCAGCCCCTAATTTCTAGAGTTATACATATTTATGTAGAATATTTGGAATGAACTAGATTTGAAGTATTATATAAAAGATATTCTGGACTATGAAAACAATTACAGGTCTAGAATTCATTATCTACAATTCCAAAATCTAAAAACTTCTGTAAGCCACAGATATTGCTAAGTTTGGCATCAAAACTCATTTGGAGGAAAACTTGACCTGCACTGATGATAGCTAATTTATTTACATATTTAGTTAGATAATCATACATTTCATTAAGAAATATTAGTATATTTGGAGGTGCTGGCCTAAGCTGTTGTGTAATTTGCACTTAATTTTCTTCAAGCTGAAAAATTCTGAAACCAAATAAATACATTTAGGTTCAGAGTTCTGTGTAAGCTGTCTATTTGTATAAAATTTTCAGGCCAGAGATTTAGCTCAGTGGTGCAGCTACCTGCCTCACAAGTGCAAGGTCCCAAGTTTGATCCCTGGTACCCCCGCCCCCAATTATTTTTCCTTGAAGGATTTGAAAGAAACTGAACATAATGTTTTGATCAAAAATGGAAATAGAATTCAGTTGAGCCATCAATCTTTTTAATATGTTTCCTATGAAGAAAATAAGATTATAGTGTTGTGGCTCAGAAAATGGTACACCAAAGTGAAGGACTCAGAAGCTGCCTCAGTAGGAAAGTTTGTCTCTGATCTTTTCCTGTCTCTCACCCTCATTTTCCCCAAGGCAAGTCATAGAAACTCAGATTTCTCTTTCCCAAAGTGTGTCATAGAAACCAGAACCCCTGCTCCTCAAAGCTAGTCATAAAACTCAAAAATACTACCCCAATCTTCTACCTTTCCATGTAAGAGTTGGCCATAAAAGCATCCTCTGACTCTGCTTTTTGTAAAAATTAATTTTATTGGTATATTTTAGGTATACAATATAATGACATTCATCATTGGAAATCTGCACCTTTACATAATCTCTCTTGGTTATTTTTCCCCCTTCCCCTGCCCTCCCTTCAACTCCTCCATCCCTCCCTATTTACAAAGACTTTGTTTCCATTTTCTCATATTGATTCCATTCCCTTCTTTCCTCTCATCTACCCCTCCCACTTCCCCTTCCCCTTTGCCCCTTTTCTTCCTATTTCACATTATCTATTATACATTTTAGTCCTTATTTACACTCTCAGTTTCTCACACTAGAGAAACTAGTTGGTATTTATACATGTGTCCTATTTATTTCACTTAAGAGTATCGCCTCAATGTGCATCTATTTAGCTATAAATGTCTCTAATTTCTCATTTTTTATGGCTGAGTAGTACTCCATTTTATAAAAAAGAACACATTTTCTTTATCCAGTCTCCAGTTGATGGGCACTTGGGCTGCTTCCAAGTTTTAGCTGTTACAAACTGTGCTGCTATGAACATGGGTGCACATATATCATTGTGGTATGATTCTTTTATTTCTTTGGAGAAGACACCAGCAGGGGAATAGCTGGGTCAAATGGGACTTCCAGTCCTAGTTCTTTGAGGTATTTCCATACTGATTTCCACAGTGGTTGCACCAGTCTACACTCCTACCAGCAGTGGAGCAGGGTTCCTCTTTCCCCACAGCCCTGCCAGCATTTGTTATTGGTTGATTTCATGATAGCAGCCATTCTTTCTGGGGTGAGGTGGAATCTCAGCGTTGTTTTCATTGGCATCTCTCCAATGACCAGTGATGCTGAACATTTTTTCATATGTTTATTTGCTATTTCTACTTTCTTTGTCTGAGAAATGTCTGTTCATTTCAGATGCCTATTTTTGGATTGTGACCCTGTTTAATTGTAGGTCATAAGACCTCCATTGCAGAAAGAGTCCTACCCAGTACTCAGAAGGAAGGAACGATACAGAGAGGCCAAGAAGAATCTGAATGGACAGGCCTTGCTGGGTTTCCCTCCCTCCCCCCAGGCTATCACTATTAGATAATATCCCTTTTGTCCAATCACATTTGTAAACAGCTATCCTTGCTAAGCATAAAAATGGACAGTTCATGCTGGGTTTTGAGGTCTTCAATCTCAAGGCTCCAGTGTCATGTAGAACTATGATCAAATAAATCTTCACACTTTTCTCTTGTTAACCTGTCTTTTGTCTTGGGGTATGTGCCATGACCCTTTAGGACACAATAGCCATAAGCTGTAGATTTTTTTCTATTATTTAAAAAGGGAGCACGCCTGTAATCCCAGCACACAGGAGGCAGAGGCAGGAGGAGCACCAGGAGTTCAAGACTAACCTGGGCTACAGAGTGAGTTCAGGGCCTGCCTGAACTACAAAGTGAGACTCTGTCTCAAAAAACCAAGAAAAACCAAAAAAAAACAAAAACTAAAACAAAAAAAGGAATGAAAACATATTTTGAATCTTTCTTTTTCCAAAGCTTCAGATTTTGCACTTACCCTTTCACTTCTCACAGAACCAGTGACGTCATCATCATTTAGGTGGCGCTTGAATTTGGGAGGCATACTTTTTACTCCTGCAGTACTTCTCTAGTTCCCAGTAAAGTAACCACCACCTGAAGGATAAAATAAATTTCAGTAGGTTTGAAACTTTAGCGACAGGATGAAGAATTTAAGTGTTCAACCTCCTGTCTGGTGGGCTCTCCCCTCACTTTTCTGACTGCTCCACTCCAATGACCCAGGCCTCCTTACTAGGTTTGACGCATGCAACTTCCCTAAGAAGATGAATGGGAAAATGAGTAAACTGAGGATTTTATAAAATGAAAAAGTAGATCATGTGAAAAGTGGGTAAATAGGAGGAGGTTCTGTGTAAATGTTGAAATGCTTTATGATTTTAACTTGGAGTCAGAAGATAGCAGTGAACTTCTAGGTCTCTCACTTTCAGTTAGTTGTGCAAGCAATGACTCAGTTTCCTCATCTCTAGAATAGTGATTCCTATGCTTCTAGATGGAGTTGGGACAGTCGTATCAAATAGCACATGCAAAGTCATCTGTAAACTATCGTCCCACAGGTGCTCCATGAAAAGGGCTATGTTTGGCAAGTACTGGTGTGATACTGTGATATATAATATAGTGATTATGTATGTATATTAAAGTATTTAATATTGAGATCCACCTATTTATCTAACCCTCCTGCCTACCTATCTTAGGTCTTCCTTTTGTTTCTTCACATATAGTTCGTAAAACTCTCAGACTCTCCCCAGAGTGATATGTGAGTTTTTTGTTTTGTTTTTGCTAATGAGATGACCAGCGGCTGACAGTTCCTAAGTAGCTTCAGAATGGGGACTACTCACAGGAAAGACCAAAGCATGATTAAAGAGTTGGATGTTTCAGCCCTACTCCACTCCCAACCTCTAGGGAAGACAGACGGGCTATCTGGTTGCTAATGGCCAATGTTATAATCCATTATGGCTACTAATGAAGCTTTCATTCTTATGAAAGAGGACAGGGTTCCGGTGGGTGGTATGCCTCACGGGGTCATGGAAGCTCTAAGCTCCTTCTCCCATACCTTGCCTTATGCACCTATTCCATCTGACTATCTGTATCCTTTGTAATATCCTTCATAATAAACCAGTCAATGTAAGTACTGTTTCCTTGAGCTGTATGAGCTACTTTAGCAAATTAACTGAACCCAAAAAAGGAACTGTGAGCACCCAGTTAATAGCTGGTTAATCAGTAGCACAAGTTTCACAACCTGGGGTCTGTAATAGGCATCAGTAGTGCAGGGGGGGGGGCAGCCTCGTGGCACTGAGCCCTCAAACAGTGGGATCTGATGCTATCTCCAGGTAGACAGCATCAGGAGTGAATTAAATTAAAACATATCCAGCTGATATAATCTGGAGAATCTGCTGCAACACTGCTTACTTTGGGGCGGGGAAAAGATTTCCACATATTTTGGGGTCACAGAAGTGTTCTGTATTGTGAAAGAGGAGATACAATTTGTTTTTTGTATATTAAAACAACTGGGTTAAACAAAGCCAGCCTCACAGCCTTTTATATGCTAATAAGCACGGTGATTTTTCTAGGAAAGTGCTTGAGTATGCAACATAATCAAAATTTTCTTGAAAAAAAAGCTGTCCTGTGCTAATGTGAATTTTCAGTATTTTGGACCAGATGATGGCTGAATATCTAGGAATTCAGAAGAGTTAAGATGTAGTGAATGTGTCCTTCGTGCTGGACACAAATATATATGCATTTTTTCAGTAATATGGAAACATTTCTGTCCTCAGAGTTACACATGCATTTTCTCTTTTATTCTTTAGGACACCCTGAAGTAGGCACTAAGAAATCACAGAAAACTAAGGCTTAGTAAAGATATGTAATAGTGATAGTTCCTTCATTCATTGAAACAGAGAGACATAACCCTTAAATCAAGGGCTATGCATCCTCAGTTTTAGCATTTATTCAATTAGTTACTATTGGGTTACACAATTCTCTTCTAGAAAGACATAGTTCCTTGTAACAACCCAGTAGACCTCTATCTTCTTCCACAAGAAGAAATACCTCTAAGATGTCTGAATCAGGTATAGCTAGCCATTAGTTTGTTGGTTAATATTATACACTAAAGAAAGAAACAATAAACAAGATCAGGTTATAGTTCTATAAATCAAATAAGTAGTATTTTAATTCAGTTTCCAGTCAAAACAAACACAAATACTTTTCTTTGATAAAATGCTTGCAAGCCAGAAACTGAACCACTTGAAACACAAACCAAATTCTTCCTTCCTCTAAGTAAGAGCTCTAGAGTTCTTCATTCCCCAATATTTCTGTCACGTACATCTGGACCACTTTATTCCTCATGCTTTGATTTCAGATTAATTCATTCATGCAGAATGTTACAGCATGCATGGAAAAACAGATGACAAAGCAAATAATTGAAGAACTTGAGCTTTTCTTTTCATTATATCTGTATTTTATTTATATTTAAAACCCTACAAAGGGGCTCCCCAACCCTCAGCAAACAACTGATAGATTTATATAATGCCTTTATGAGACATATAGTAAAGCTAAAACTTTAATGAAGAGCAAATCTCATATTCAGGTCCCATTGGATCAATTTCAGAAGGGCAAGATACTCAGGTCTGACAAATAGAAAAGTCATCAGGAAAGCAGCAGGCAAATTAATTGGCTACACCTGATGTAGTTGATCAAGTGGGCAACTGATGATATTTGTACCAAACAACTAGTAGAAATAAACGGTGCTCAGAAATTAGAATTGTACATATTCTGCCTAAGATTTCTTCTACAAAAAACACTTGTCAGTTCAGGTAACTGAAATATATGTGTGTGTGTGTGTGTGTGTGTGTGTGTGTGTGTGTGTGTGTAAATATGAGAGCACTGCAGATATATTTCCATATTGAAGGTAAACACCACCACACAATTTACTTAAGCTCTAACCCCCTATGCCCCTCAAACCATCATCATATGCTTAAAATTTCACATATGCATTTCTGTAGTGCCTTCTTTATTCAATTACACATTTAAACTTGTAACCTATTCTTTAATAAATGCTGGCTTTTTTGCTTTACAAAACAACAATAACAACACCCCCCTCTGTATTTCATTTCACAAAAAGCTTGCATCTGGGCATAGGCTTTCCTTTTCCAGCCACCATCCCTTTCCTACTCCACTTCTTCATTTCTCATCAGCGTCTTGGCTGGGGCCAGTTTCACAGAAATAGTTACTCAGAGGGACACAGACTGGAGATGACAGACACAGACTCGCAAAACCTGTCAAGTGTAATGATTCATCCCCACCTGCCGGGCATCAGGAACACAGCAAGGTTGGCGCTCTTTCTCCTGAGCCCTTGAATAAAGAATCAGTTCCGTCTACTCTAACTGGCAGCTCCGTTCACATCTCTCTGCCCCCAATCTATCACACCAGGCCACGTACCCCAACATCTGCTCCTAACTCTGGCCTTTCCCGTCCCAAGATACCCATCCCGTGCCAGGCTGCCTCCCAGCCCGGGCACTCTTCTCTTCCCACCTCCCCAGGGCGCCCCTCAATTCCAATCTCATTCCTCTCCACCGCCGCCACCTGCGCCCCGGTGCACGTCTTCCTTCCTCACAGCGCCCCCGCCCCGGGCCTCCCCGCTCGGGGCTCCCTCCCGGCTCCGAGGCCAGAGCCAGCCCGACTGGCGGGCAGGGGCGTCGTTCCCGTCACCTTCCTCTTCACACCTGCCCCTCCCGCGGGGAGCAGGCCGGCGCCAGTACCTGAGGCTCCCGGGAGCTCCCGGCAGCTCTCTCGGGCAGCCTGCGGCGGGCAGGCGGCCGGGGAAAGGAGCGGGGAGCCGCGGAAGACCGGCGAACGGACAGGAGGGGCACAGTGGGCGCGCACCCGGCGACGGCCGCTGCGCCGGAGCTGCGCCCCCGCTCATCCAGCCGATCGGTGCTCTGCGGCCTGGCACAGGCGAGGGGGCGGGGCCGGGCCACGGGGATAGTCGAAGGAATCGATTCGTCCTCCTTTCTTTACCTTGAAGAGGACTCGGACGGGAGATCCGGATCCTCGGGGTTGTACTGTTGTGGGGAAGAACAGCTGGCTCTCCAGGTCCAGACCCGGATCGCCAGCGCGGAATGCGCTCAAGGGTGGTAGAGGGAGCTCCAGGGCGGGGCGCTGAGGTTGGTGACGGGTTGACAGGTGGTTAAAAGGTGGTGCTTGGGGTCAGGCCTGTCCCCGGGCTGAGAAAGTGCAGTGGAGCGGTGGAAAGATCTCCTTCGGGTCCTTGTTTACAGAATCGGTCCGACTGGAAGAGACCTGTTAAGGGTTGCTAGTCCTGTCTGCTCATTTAGACAGCAGTAACTTCTGGTCCAGAGATGACATCTTCAATTTACATTGCCTGTGTGGCCAGGATTGGGGCCGGGATTCAGCGGTCTTCCCCCTTTATTCCTTGGTCGTAACGTAACCAGATCTAGACCCCGCAGCCTTCAGGTTTCTCGTGGGAAATCACCCTGCGCAACCATTCCGCTGCCCCCCCCCCGTCTATTTGGTATAATATCGATTTAAACTTCCAAGCCTGAAGCAGCTGGGCATAGAAATCCAAATAATTCCTTTTTTTAAAAATCCCTTTCTCTTGAACCCTGGCTGGATTATTTAACTCATTAAAAATAATTTATTTACTACACGTGTTTTTAATTTAATATTTCAGTCCTTTGTTCATACAGCGTTTTAACTGTCTGAAATACTGTTCCAGTTACTTTATAAAGGTATAGAATTAAGAAACGGTGTTTAAGAATAAGACAAGAATAAATAGGACACACATGTGTAAATACCGAATAGTTTCTCTAATGTGAGAAACTGAAAGTGTAAATAAAGACTAAAAGGTATAATAGGGCTGGGGATTTAGCTCAGTGGTTCGGGCGCCTGCCTTGCGAGAGCAAGGTCCTGAGTTCGATCCCCGGTACCAAAAAAAAATAATAATAATAATAATAAAAGGTATAATAGATAATGTGAAATAGGAAGCAAAGGGGAAGTGGGAGGGGTGGGGGAAAGGAAAGAAGGGAATGGAATTAATATGAGAAAAGGAAAAAATGGAAACAAAGTCTTTGTAAATAGGAAGGGGTGGAGAGGTTGAAGGGAGGGCAGGGGAATGGGGAAAAAATAAGAACCAAGAGAGATTATGTAAAGGTGCAAATTTCCAATGATGAATGTCATTATATTGTATACCTAAAATGTATCAATAAAATAAAATTTGAAAGACGAGAACAAGAGGAGGGAATCTCTGGGAGACTGGAAAGGGAGAGAATAGTCCTGTCTGTCGCCCCCCCCCCCATTTGGGTTGGTAGTGGTTGTGATTTAAAAATATGGTAATTGAAAGATGCCTTGGCTAAAGCAGTGTTGCTCAACTCTAGGTGAATCACGTGGAAAAGCTTGGAGTTATATTACATGGAAAGCTTTTAATGTCCAAGGACTACTCCGATTCTGACTTAATTGGTCTGGCATATTCAGAAACAGTGAGCAATGGGATTGTAAATTAAAGCTTCTGAAAACCTAGTATGAGACTCACTCAGTGGCTGTGAACCTATTACTTGTAGAACGTGGCTGACTTGGACTGAAATGGCCCACCCAAGAGGGAAGCTTCTTAGTTTGTATCTCTGCCTGAGCATGACGGTGATGCTACCTCTGACTGCAAAGATGATCCAAAAGTTATTTTTTTTTCTCCTAAAGTTGATTTTATATCTGTGTATTTGCTTATTATGAGGGGTTCCTCTGCTTTGTTGCCTTAGCCAATTACAGCCTCAGCTCTATGCTGACAGCTTAAGGCAGTGTGATTATTGAGCCATACAGACATTGTCACTCACTGTACAGCTTTTATTAATATTCTGACTTTAATTTTATCCATAATTCTTTAGTTCTACTGATTATTTTGGTATGATTTCTTAGGGTAGGGATATTCAAGCCCTACCCTTTAATCACCTGAACAGTGTCCCTTTGACTATCCCCCAAATTTTGTCATTTTTCAGTTAACATGAATCAAATACACTAGTAAGCCTGACAGATCATAAACAGCATTGAGCTAGGAGTCAGAACTCTAGTCAACTTATTTCCTCATGAAATCCAGTTATTCCAATAGCAGTCCTCATTTTTTAAAATTTTATCTTTTCAACACAAGACTTTCATTCACCCTTAAGTGGACCTGCTGTCTTAGCTAAAGAATCTGTTTTGTGCCCTCCTCCATGACCAAATCTCTGAGCTTCTGCTGGTTTGGGAAATGGAATCAGAGCAGCTGATTCTTAAGCAGACTCTTTGTCATTTCCAACATCACCTCATGCTTCCCACTCCTGAGCCTTATTCAGGGTTCAGTTGTGTATATCAGGTTGCTTCATGACCTGCTTAGGGTTCCTCTTTCTCAAGTCTGCTGGGGTATTGCCATTTGGGGTAATTTACTTTCCAGCTTTCTGTATTTTGTTGCTATTGTGTCATATGAAAAAGAAATAGTATAAATCAGTTAGAAGCTTTTGATTACTAGTATTCTTGGGACTTATTAGAAATGCTTGATACTGAGAAAGATATCTGATTTGAATCTGATTTTGACAGTTTGATCCTTTGTGTTAAATGGCAAAGGTCAAAAATGTGATAAGTGTTGGGAGTGTGTGTATTGGGGGTTTGGGAATAGGGTAGGAGGAACAAACATTCTCAAATATTTTGTCAGGAGGAATGTAAATTGATGCAAACATTTTATTATTTTGTTTGTTTTTTGTACCAGGGATCGAACTCGGGTCCTCGCACTTGCAGGACAGGCGGTGGAACCACTGAGCTAAAACCACCCCCCCCCATACAAACATTTTAAAATTCAGGGTAACAAAATATGTCCAAATGTTATATGAGGTTCATTTGATCTAACAATTCTGCTTGTAAAATTTGTCCCATAGATATACACGTTGTATGAAAGTGTTCTATAAAATATATATATATTTTTTGGTACCAGGGATCGAACTCAGGTCCTTGCGCTTGTGCAACAAGTGGCAAAACCACTGAGCTAAATCCTCAGCCCTCTATAAAATATTTTGCAAGGTTTTTTTTGGTACCAGGGACTGAACTTGGGACCTTGCGCTTGCGAGGCAGGCGGCGGCACCACTGAGCTAAATCCCCAGCCCAGTCTACACAATTTTTCTCAAAAGTTTTATATATTTGCCTGACCCATATGTAGTTCTGCAGTAATTTTTGTTTGTTGTTCACTTTTATCATTTTAGTTTTGAAAGAAGCAATGACTTTATATTTGAATTTCATAAGTTTAAATATTTAGATGTAATAGGAAAATATAACTTTAGTGTGCAAATATAAACTGACTCTTGACCTCTCTTGGTGCTTTTGCTGTCTTTTGCTGCCATAAACTGAAGCTCTGTTACCTTTGCTGCATTGTGTGCGCCATGTTGTTTCTGCTCTGCCATGCCTGTTATCCCTGCCTTCGAGTCGACTGATTATGGACTGAAATCTCTACAAACTGTAAGCCAAATAAACCCCTTCCTCTCTAAAAAAGCAAAACAACAAAAAAACCCCAAAAAACTGACTTTTCTTTTCCGGGGATTGAACTCGGGACCTTCCACTTGCGAGGAAAGCGGCAGAAACACTGAGCTAAATCCCTGGCCCCAAAAAACTGACTCTTGAAAACATGTAGCTTAGCTCAGCTAGCTTGGAGAGGAAGTGCATTTAGTTCATATACCACAGGCCTCTTGTGCTCAGAGGGCCTTGGTATTATGTAAATACAGTGTTAATTTTAGTTTTGATTTTGAAACAATGTCAACCTTCCAAAGAAAAACAAAGAACTGTCGTAAAACTTTTATCCTGATTCACTTGTTATCATCATTTTTTTCCTAAGCCTCAACTCATAAATGGATTTCATGACTCACCATGTTAGTAAAACAGCATTCCTTTTTCTCCAAACAGATGAAGAAATGAGGTCAGAGAGCTTTTGTGACTTGGTAACATTTCACTTTATTCTTTGTTCTTCCTCTATAATATGTACCTCTACCCCAATTATTTGAGAGCTAGTTATAGCTATCATGCCTCTTTATCCCTAAATACTTCAGTAGGTATTTCATAAGAACAAGGTCATTATCTACAATTCAGTTGTCAAATTCAGAAAATTTAACATTGATATAATAATGTTTTCTAATAAAGCATTCATATTCAAAATTTCCCAGTGATCTCCGTTATACCCTCTGTGGTATCACTGAGAGAGTTTACAGAGACTAGAGAATAATGAGTAACAGGGCAAGTGGGTTAAGTGGAATCTTTTTTTTTTTTTTTTTGGTACCGGGGATCAAATGGAATCTTATTTTTAAGGACAGGTTTGATTGTAGCTTTTTTTTCTTAAAAATATGTATAATGAAGTAGGAATACCCAGAAACCTTCCCCATGAAACTTTAGATGTAACATTGTAAGTCATTTAGAAGTGCTTTGTTTCTCCTCTAACTCTTCTTATTTATTGATATCATGATATATTGCAAGAATTTTATCTTGGAGAAATTGCCTCCCACAGAGACGGTCACAGCAGGGAAGCATTTGTAGTATGATAATATGATTTTGTATCATTACTACTCTGAAAATTAAAAATGACCACCATTTAGAAAATGCCTATTTTTAAGCACTATCTCAGTGATCAGTGTGTGTTATTTCTGCACAACAATGTGCTCCCATTAAGTATAATTTCCTTCATTTTATTGATCAGAAAACCAAGGTTCTGAGATGATATTGTGTATTTTGATCAAGGTTAGAGAATAGACACATCAGTAAATATTGAAAAGCTATAAGCTTAAATAAGGTAAAATAAATATTTTATCTAAGTAGGCCATGTGCTTTTCCCTCAAATAGAAATTAGGCAGTTTATTCTTAAAGCATCTTATAGGTAGAATCTATCAAGCTTACTTTTTTGTGATGATCTCACTTGATTTAGGAGGCTTAGTC